TCTTCAGGTCCCTTTATAAAGGCAGAGGTAGGATTTGCCTTGAGACTCCCCGGGGCCTCCTTACGAGCCTTGGCCGCAGGTGAGCTGGCTGGAGTGGCCTCAGCCACACAGCCCCTGTGGAGGTGGGGTTCTTGGGGAGAGGGTTGCTGTGGGGTCTCACATTTCACAACAACCACGCCTGGAGCTGGTTTCTCTCCTCCCAACTTTAAACGCAAACTCCTGATTCTCTCCTTCAGCTACTTCTAAGATGAAGTCCCAAATGTCATCACCCAGTGGGTGTTTTCTGAGAGTCCGCAGGCAGTGGGAACTGGTCACTTCAGGGTGTGCAGTGAACCCCACCGGGGAATTATTTGCTCTGCCGGGAAACTCCTAATCTCCTGGGTTTGGTTCAACAAGTGCTTACTGAGAACTTAGAATGTGCCAAGGTTGATTAGAGGTCACTGAGCCGCCGGCTGCTCCAAGGAGCTCTGAAGCCTGAATTCACTGAGGCTTAGTGCGGGAAGGGAGCTTAGCAGCCGTCCAGTCCAAAGCCTTCACTTCACGGATGAGAAAACTGAGACCCAGTTTACAGCACAGGAGACCCAGCAGGCCCTGGTTAGGGAGCTCGGAGGACACCAAAGCCTGCTGGTGGCCCCCCCTCTGCCCACTGCCTGGCTCCATTTAGCACATTTTCATACCTTAGGCTTGAGGATCAAATACGGTCACTTTAAAGCTGAGAAAACAGCAGCAGAGGGTCAGGGGCATGTGCCTAGGTGCAGAATCCAAGCAAACGCCACCATGGAGGAGCTCCTGCCTTGGCGGGCTCCTCGGCAAGCAGGACACTGAGGGGGAGGGGTCCCTCCGAGGGTCCCAGGCCCCACAGCTCACACTGCACTGTGGCTGAAGTCAGCCCAGTACCTCCTGAGCACCACTGGGCAGCCACTGCATACCACACCGAGTCGGGGCTGGGTGACCTTGACCCCCAGAGAAACACCAGAGAGATCACCAAGGATTCCAGAGGATTCTCTCTACCCATGTGATGCTTTCACAGCCCAGACCTGGGTTCATCTCCTGACTCTGCTAATGACTAGCAATAGGATCTTGGCGAGGCATTAAACTCTCTGAGCCTTAGTTTCCCCACCTATAAAGTGGGAAGTTTCACACTTACCTCGCTGGATTGTGGTGGCCATTGAGATAGTAAATGTGATGTGGTTGGCACAGTGCTTGGCATACACCAGTCACCCAATAAGTGATATCACTATTTTTGTTGTTGCCAACAAGTGACACCTTCCTCCCTTATGACCATCACCAGCCCGGCCTTTCTAACACTCCAAAGGCCCAGTCCTTTTCAGCTTCTGAGTGTCCCTGCTACTCCCGCAGTGCTCCCCGACCCTGCCACCCTGAGGCCCCTCTCCTCTCTCTGCTCCTCCTGCCCAGGGAAGGTGTAGCGCGCCACGTGCTGGGCTACTGCATCAGGTGGCTGTCATGTACCATACTATATAGCATTTAGCGACTCACAACACCTTAGTGTGCCCAACAGTCCTGGTTGGCTTGGGACTGACCTGGTTTTAGCACTGAAAGTCCCATGCCCCTTGTCCTGGGAAATCCCTCGGTCCCAGGCAAGCTGTTGGTCATCCCACAACCATCTTTCCCTCTACAGATGAAGATCCACGGACTCCAGGAACTACACAGCCAGGCTTGGCTTGGCTGGGTTTGTTTCTCTTGGATCGTGGCTCCAGGTCTTATTTCAAGCCTAGAAAAGCAGAAGCGCAACAGTATTTCTAAAGCTGCTTCGACCCGCTTGCTCCTAATGGCCTCTCAAGAGGTTCTCAGAGCCAGGAAGGCATGCTTTCCGGGGCAGGGGCATGGCTCTCACCGGCCCTCGCCAAGCTTGATAATTCTACTTGGCATCCGTGCTCTGCTCGAGTGGAAACTGCCTGGCCGCTGAGTATCGACTTCCTGGAATCACATTCTCACTGGGGAAAGGAAGGGGGGTGCGGAGAGAGGGCAAACCACCCAGCTGCTGGGGCCCTTACTCCCAGCCTGCTCCTTCCTTTCACCATAAGGCGATTCGGCTGCTGGGCAGGATGTCACTCTCAGCCTGGGTGAATGCGGTGACTGACCGATGACATCCTACAAAGGACAGCAGTGTGGTAAGAGGGGCACACACAGGCTTTGGCGTCAACAGGCCTGTTTTCAAATCCCAGCCTCACAGATTACAGCTACATCATGCTCCATCCCTTTGAGCCTTGATTTCCCAATCTAAACATGGGGAGAGTAGTAGCTCCCTTTTATTAATACGACACATTTAGTTAACAAAATTATAATGAACAGCCATTTCATAGGTACAAAGCTCCTTCCCATACGTTGTCTTGCTGGATCCTGGCCGTTATTTAGCGAGGCATGAACTAAAGGCATCTCCTGTCAGTCCTTCATCTGCACAGCCTGCTTTATGCTCAGGCCCTGCCACATCCAGCCACCCGGCCCAGCCCGGGCCCCCACATTCTGCATGATCCCCGTCTGGCGTAGCGGGAGTTCCCACTGGGGCTACGTGGCCAGACCAGCTGACCTCCTGCCTGGATGGATTTGCAGAATAGACAGGATTCTCAGAGAGGAAAAACACTGGTCAGGTGCCCTGAAGTAGGAGAGTCAGGCAGTTAGATAGACTGTGCAAGTGGAAGGATTCTGGCATGTTTTGTGGTCCCTTCAGCAGGCCGTTGTCACTGACCCTGAGATGTGCTGGAGCAGGGTTTGCATCTGCATCACACATACACAGCCCCATTTGGCTCGGAAGGAGTGAATGGCTGAGGGGTCCTTCTACCACCTCCACCACCCCGTGGAGAGTGGCAGGAGCTCAGCCCCACGGCTACAGAAAACCTCTGTGGCTCCGAGTCTGCCAGCAGGCTTTGCGGCTCCCTTAAATCAGCGCATCTAGAACTGGATCTGGAATGTATTCTTAGGAGTAGGTGGGTTCTATGGGATTTTTAAATTTTGTGTTTCCATTTTGACGATAATCTTAAAAAGATTTCTTTTATCGGCTGTAAGGGGAAAATTTCCTATTGTTATCATTCAAAACTGGAACGCATTTCGATGGACCAAAACCTTGGTTCATTAAGATGTTTCTCAAACTGGGAGTTGATGCCCCCCTGGGGCTCTACAAATGAACAAATGCATTTTCATGGGTCCACAAGAACTGATTTTCTTTTTAAAAGGGGTCCCTATGTTACTCCGGCTTGAAAGACACTGCCTAAAATTTCCTGCCCTCCTACACTCTCCTGTTCTCCCTCCCCTGTTCCACAGCCACGCCTGGGACAAGCCGGCAACACGTGCACGAGGTATGGAAACAGTAAGCCCAAAGCACAAATGTACCAGAGGATTCTACATTCTCTCCCCTCTGGTTTCCAGGTAAAAGCAGTGTCCCTTTAACTGAACCAGAAACCACCAAAACAACCCACCATTCATGATGCCATGTGATGCATCATGTAACGTCAATAAACGTCACTTACACCCTCGGCGGTTTGACTCGATTGAGCTACATCCCGTGCACAACCCAGAGGTTGCTGGTTGGATTCCTGGTCAGGGCACATGCCCAGGTCGACTGGGGTTCGATCCCCAGTAGGAAGCATGCAGGAAGCAGCCTATCAATGTTTCTATTTCTCCCCCCCTCTCCCTTCCTCTCTCTAAAATCAATAAAAACATATTTAAAAAAAAATAAATTAATTAAAAATACCACTTATTAGTTATCCCCCAAACCGTCTGAGCAGAGAGCTCCACCTCGAAACCACATGCTTCTTCCCTGGCTCAGGAGGAACCCACAGACTCGGCTTGCAAAGGGCGGCTCCATCCCTGAATGTGGGGCAGCAGTGGGGTGACAGAGGACTGCCCCAGAAAGTGAGCCTGAGGCATCCAGTTCCAACATGGGTCAGGAGGTTTTCTAACCAGGCTTGCTTTCCGCTGAGTCCCTGATGTTCCTACCCCTGAGCGTGTGTGTGTGCACATGCATATGCATGTGTGTCTGTGTGTGTGCGTGCACACAGGTGTATTTTAATCAGTACTTATCTCTTACTCTGGACGGGTCCAAAGGACTCGCCAATAACCCATCTCCCACATAGACACACTCGGGAAAGGCTGCAGGTCTTGGTAGACTGGGTGCCCGACCAGTGGTTCAGGGCAGTTGCAGGGTTGGGGTGGCTCTGAAGGCCTTTGGAGCACATAGGTCAGGTCTTCTCCCACAGGGACACTAAAACCCTGCCATTGACCCCGACATTCCTTTGAAGGTTTAGATGGCAAAATCACTAATTTTGCCTTGCTCAAGACAGTAAAAATATGTAATAGAAACCAACTAAATACCATTCATTGGGCAGATTTGGAATATAAGGGTAAAATTATATCCCTAGAAACAGCATAGTCACAAAAGACTAAAATGTCACGGCTGCGCTCTCAGAACTCCAGTCTTTTCGCTCCCCTAAGATTGATAGTTTCCTTTCCACAGGAAAGAACAAAAAACTGATTCCTAATCAGCCCAGAACTGATCTCTGCAGCAGCAGAGGAAACCCTGGGGCTCCATGGACCTTTGAGAAAGCTTCCCAGGGCCTGCAGCCCCCATGCAGGGTCCTAGACAATTCTGCACCATTCCCTCAGCTCAGATGAGGAGGGAGGGTGGAGGTAATGGAAGAAGGAATTCCATTTTCTGAGCACAACGCTTCATGCCCCACAGTCATGTTTGTACCAAATTGGTTCTTAAGGCAACAGCCATTTGGCCCCTGGGAATTTAGAAATGAGGGAAATAATTCTGAGCATTAAACCATGAAATCAACATGGAATGGATCAGAGCAGAGGACTCGAAGTTACCACAGAGAGACGGGCTCAGCCTAACTAAAGCGTCCCTGAGCAGCGACACCGTCCGCAGTGATAGCGGCAGGGCAGAGGGGGACCGGGATGCTGAGCCACGCCTGCCCTGCCATGTCCCGCCTGCCCCCACCAGCAGATGGCTCCCCAGAGTGGGCCCCCCAAGAACTCACGGGTCCTGCTGGCATGATCCACAATGCTGTCCCCGCTGCTTCCCCTGCTTCCCACGCCAGTCAGTTCCCACTGTGGCCTGTTGGGCCACAGGTCCCAGCAGACCTTTTGCCGGCCTGAATGATATCCTTTCTGGTCTCTTTTCCTTTGAGGGCAACTGGGGACTGAAAGCCCAATGTGGATGGAATGGCAGTCTGTGGACACAAAACAAAAGAGGGGAGAAACAAGAGTTATTGAAAGTTGGCATTTCTCCTTAACACCCTCCATTCATCCCCTGCTGGACATTGTAGTGGCTCCCATGCCTTGGCTATTAAGGATAAAGCTGCACACAGTTTACAATAGCTAAGATCTGGAAACAGCCCAAGTGCCCATCAGTAGATGAGTGGATAAAAAAGCTGTGGGACATTTACACCATGGAGTACTATGCAGCTATAAAGAAGAATCTCGTACCCTTTGGGACAGTATGGATGGACCGGAGAATATTATGCTAAGTGAAATAAGCCAGGCAGAGAAAGACAAATATCACATGATCTCGCTTATACGTGGAATCTAAAGAACTTAATAAACTGATGAACAGAATAGATTCAATGACATGGAAGCATAGATGAGACTGAGGAATGTCAGAGGGATGGAGGAGGGCAGGTGGGTGGAGGGGGAGAGAGTGACCAAAGAATTTATGTGCATATATGCACAACCCAAGGACACGGACAATGGTGGGGAGAGGGACTGGGAAGGGGGAACAGACGGGGTGGAACGGGTCACTGGGGAGAAAAAGGGACATCTGTAATATTTTAAACAATAATAAAATTAAAAATAAATAAATAAATAAATAAATAAATNTGGAGGGGGAGAGAGTGACCAAAGAATTTATGTGCATATATGCACAACCCAAGGACACGGACAATGGTGGGGAGAGGGACTGGGAAGGGGGAACAGACGGGGTGGAACGGGTCACTGGGGAGAAAAAGGGACATCTGTAATATTTTAAACAATAATAAAATTAAAAATAAATAAAGAAAGAAAGAAATAAATGAATAAAGAAAGAAAGAAAGAAAGAAAGAAAGAAAGAAAGAAAGAAAGAAAACTGCAATGATCATGGGGGTGCAGATATCTCCTCAAGATTGTGATTTTGTTTTCTTCAGATATATACCCAGAAGTGGGGTTGCTGTATCATAGAATAGTTGTATTTTTAATTTTTTAAGGAACCTCCATTTCTGAACAACTCAGTGTTGCCAGAAAAGATGCCCCTGGTGCTATAGTTAGAACTCTGCCCACAGGAGCAGAGCCCCCAGCTCCCCATCCCTGCTGGTCCGGAGCAGCGATGACGACACATGGCTTATGACACAGGACAGAGGCCCTCAATGGGGCTATATACACGAGAGTATGCTTATGAAAGAAATCAGGGGAGATGGCTGTCTGGGAGGTATTTCACTTTCTGCCCAGGATCTACTTGTCCCATGCTTGTTTGTTTTATTTTGTTGTGGGTTTTTCTGTTGTTTTGGAGGGAGGGGGGTGTTGGCTCCCATCGTCAGGGTGTGGCCAGTTAGCTGATGAACTGCGGGGAATGGCGAACCCTCTTCGCTCTTTGATTTGTGGGACCTCTTCTCCCACTGAGAACATCTTGCCGTTTGCTCGGGACAATGCCAGGTTCTCCCAGGAACCCGCCGCCGCATTCCCCGCTGACAGTCCCCGAGCGGCTCTACACACTCGGCCGCTCAGCAAGCGCCGCTGGGCAGCGAGACCAGCGTTTGCCTCCACGTGGTGCTGGGGTAATGGTGAGGCCACAGCCTGTCCGGCTGCCTTTTCATAAGCCCTGTGGCTGCTTCTGCAAGTGTAGGGCCCTTAGGGCCTCTGAGTCAGCAATTCTGAAGCAACAGAAATACCTTCACTCAACACCCTTTTGCACTGGTTTTAACTGAACTGCCGTTTTTAGAATCTATAAACTGTTGGTATTTGGCATTTAGTACGGTTCGGAGATCTTGTAAAATTAGGTCAGTTTCATTTTGGGCCCTAATCCATGCAAGCAAAGTGCTAGTTTTCTATCTCCAGCCTGACCATGTGGTCCCTTTAAGACACAAAGAAGGCTGGTCCCCCTGGGTCTAGAAGAGACACTGTGGGTGGGTCAGGAACAGGGACCAGCTCTCTAGAGTCCCCAGCTGGAAGGGTTGTTATAAGGATATTCTAGGAATTGCATCAAGGTCTCAAGGTGACCTTACCTTCCTGATCCGGATCCTGACATCGCCCCCTGTGGTTAGCAGGGCCCAGCTTGCCTACCCCAGGCTTCTCCTCCTTCACTCTCATGGCTGTAAGTAAAAGGTGAACACAGCCTCAAGATGTGCACCACACAAAGAGGCAGAATTTCAAGGAGAAATGGTTAAATCCATACTCATAGTGGGAGGCCTTAATGCAGACGAAAAAAATAAAGCCAAAAGAATGTATAAACAAGTTGAAGAAGCTCAATTATCCATCTCCAACAAATAGAAAGCACACCTTTCTTTCCGTTACAAATGGAACATTTACAGAGAGAACACATTTACGAGGTCACAGAAAAGCCTTAGTAAATTTTGAAGAATGCATATTGTACCTCTATAGTAAATATATACACACACGCACACACACACATATATGTTTAGAAACTAAAATAATTACTAATTATGGGTTTAATAGGAAATCACAATGAAAATTATTAAATATTTAGAACTCATGAATTACAACTATTACATATTGAAACTTGTGGGATGCAACATACTTGGAGGGACGAAGGAAGGAAGGAAGGAAATAAATGTAGTAAGCATTCACTAAAGAACCTAGAAAAGGAACAAGAGGGGAAAACCCAAAGAAAGTAGAATGTAAATAGAAAAGATTTTTAAAAATAATGAAATAGAAAACCATTAAGCATAGAGGTGGTTAATAAATCCAAAAGGCAATTATTTAAAAAGATTATTAAAATAGGCAAACCGGGCAAAATGAATCAAGAAGAAACAAGAATATTCATAAATAAACATTAAGAAAAAAAGGGACATACTTAAAAGTATAATAGAAAAAATTTTAATTATAAATGAATGCCATGAAAAATTATGCCAGTACATTTTAACTTAGATCGTGATAGCTACCTTTGCAATGTGCCAAACCCTACTGTAAATGCTCTGCACGTATGACTTAATTGAATCTTTTCAACAACCCTATGAGATAGGTAACATTATTTCCACCTTACAGGTGAAGTAACTGAGTCACAGAGAGCTTCATTGGCTGCCCAAATGGGGTAACAGGGGTTCAAACCCGGAGAACTCTGCTTCTGCATGCATACGTCCCAGCCCTGCACTGGGACCATTTCCTTCCCACCCCCTCACGACTTGAGAGAAGCTCCCTTCCCGGAGTGTGCAGGAGCAGCAGGAGGACAGGGCTGCCCCAGATCGCCTTCAAAGGAAGCTGTCCGCTCGAAGCCAGGTGTTGGCAGAATGGCAAGTGTTTAGATTAACTACTGCTCTCATCTACAGCTGCAGGGCCCATCATAAAAATTCCCAATCATGACCGAACCCATGAAACAAAATTTCTATCTCCAGCATTTCATATAATGTATATTAATTGAATGTCAGATATTTTGCTTTCATAATCTCACGTAATCCTGGCCAAATTTCATGAAGTGTATAATTTTCATTCCCATTTTTCAGAGAATTAAGTAATTTTTCTTGTATCCCAGAACCAGGCATGGTGGAGCCAAGATTCAGATTGGTATCGCGCCGATTCCTAGATCCAAGGAAGGAAGGGAGGAAGAAGAGGGAAGAAAGAAATGAAGATGAGAGATGGGGGGGTGGGAGATGGTCTAGAAGAAACCTCCCACTTCTGGGTTCCAGGCCCTTCCTGAGGTCTAGCTGGATTCCTGTTACTCCCAATGGCTTTATAATCCCCCCCCCTCCCCTTTCTCTTCAGCTAGCTTCAGTTGATTTGACTTACTTCTATCCAGAGAGTGTTAACCAGTACAACCATCCATTATAATGTTGCCAAAGGAATTGTGTCAGCCACACACCAGCCCCTGCCACGTAGCAAATGAAAGAATTTGTAGCAGAAGTTTCCCACACCAGCCCCTCTACTGCCCCACTAGCCACGGGTTGTTTTCCATCCATCTTTAGATCATAGATGGTCTTGGTGGGAAACATGGCTTTACGGTGAGGGATCGAACCAAATTCTCTTCTGTTCTGAGTCACTTAAGGGCTCCATTCCACTTCACTGATCCTGCCACCAGCCTGGAATCATATCTGGGATCCCGGAGAATCCAAACCCTACTGACAAAAGCAATGCCCTAAGCCTGCAAGGCTACGCACTGGAGTGGGCACCCAGGAGCAGACCCTCAGGCCCCTGCCCAGGCAGCCTTCAGGTCCACCGCAGCAAGGAGGCGGCGATGCAGCCAACCTTATGGGCGGACCATGAAAACCCTGGCGATTGAATCACCTGCCGTTTAACACTCTCCTTCCATCCACAAGGGAACATCAATTTAGTCCAACAAATCCACTTTGTTCCAGGTATTTGCTATAGACACTGGGAACAGAACAAGTAGTTCAATTACTAGAGAAGAGATTAGAATATGTATTTACTGAGATACTAAGCCCTCAAGATTAGACATTGTGTCTCTGGAAGAAAATGAACTAGAATAAAGGTTGTGCCACATTCATCAGCCTCATGAGAGCTTTTCCTCCCACCCTATCTTTTAAGCCATTTGACCTTATTATATTTAAGAACATGGGACCAGCCCAACAAGGCATCCAGTGAGCCCCTCTGAGAACCCAAAGTAGTTCAGTAAAGGACTCGCCTGGGATTATTTTGGGAACTGAACTGACAAGAATGACACAGGGTCACGCTAGGCTTTAAAAAGCTGGAGAAAGGCCACCCTCCCGACAGATGGCTTCTCCACCGCCTCTGGGGCCCCCACCCCCATGCAGGCCCCAGGAGAGGAAAGACCAAACAAGCAAACAAAGGATCCCTAAGCAAACCACCAGTAACAAAACCAGGCACTGGATCCAAAACCTAACCACAGACGTGTAGCGACAGGAGGCCAGCCATGATTCAGTTTCTATCCCGAGATGTAACACTAACAGATGTAATTTATTTTCCCATAGTTTTCTTGGAAAGTGGCAAATCTCAGGGGTTTTTCTTACTTTATAAATATTTCAGCCAGTCTCATAAATTTGGCAAAGACGATAGAAATGTACGTGCCTAGAAAGAAATGATTTCAGTTCCATCAGAGAACCAAAAAAACTAACTCACCAAGGTGTCCGAGAGAATGAGTCTCCTGTCATTTCTGTTCATGTGATGTGACGTTTTGAGCCCCAAGCCAGTGAACTCAAGGCACCAGGGTACTAATACAGTGTATCTTTTTAAGGAAAGGCAAATGTCCAATGGTCATTTGGAAGATTTATCCAGCTTCCACGGTGTTTGCCTTCCCAGTGTGTGAAGCTCGCTCTTAAATACTCTGCTCTCACTCTTCCCTTATCTGCATAGCTTTGTCCACTATCCCTGAAGCTCCAAGATGCAAACTTACCTCCACAGTCTTAGCACCAGAAACCACGACCCAAATCTCAGGACGGCCAGAGTCACTCACTCTGTTGCTGTTGGATGGCAAGAAGGACGCACTGTGATTTCTAGGCTGAACAGTATTTGGGGCATAGGAGATTGACTTGTGGGGCTCGGTGGCAGCCAGCCATGTGACCGGGGTGGGGGAAGGGACAGTCCTGCAGGGTGAGCCTGTTGGCTAACAGACCAGGGTAGTGCAGGGTCTTAACAGAGCTGGCCGCGATCACAGGCAGATTTCTTCTTGGGTTTTAACTTGGTGATCTTTTTATGGCACTGTTAGGTTTCAGCCTGGATTTTGAAGTGTTGGTTTATCCCCTGCATAGCTTCTATCCCAGGTGCTTTTTGGATTCTGTCTTCGAGGGATGTTAGAGATGGAGGTCTCAGAACCCTTAGAGATGATCCAGCCCCACCCCAGAGTCACCTATTTTACAGACAGGTGGTGGCTGATCCAAGATCCTTCAGAGGCCTGGGTCTGGTATTATATACTGAGTTGACCCCGGATGGCCAGCACTTAAAATTACAACTTCCTTGAATATCTTTAACCTATAGGGCATTAAGTTTGCAGACTGCTGAGATGCCAATAGTATCTTATCACACTGCAGGCAGCTACTTCTGCACTGATCAGTGGTGGAAATATAGATTGAGGTGTAGATGGAGGTGGTGAGGTGTAGATGGAGGTGGTGAGGTGTAGATGGAGGTGGTGAGGTGTTTATGAGGGTGGTGAGGTGCAGATGGAGGTGGTGAGGTGTAGATGGAGGTGGTGAGGTGCAGATGGAGGTGGTGAGGTGTAACTGGAAATGGTGGAGGCAGTGGTGATGATGGAGGAAGGGGTGAGAAGGCCTAAATGATGGAGGAAGAGATTCATATTACTGACTGTTATGCTAATGACCCTGGATGAACCTGACCTGCTGTGATTACAAGTATAAAATGATAAAGCATTTACACGTTGGCATTAGGAGTCTAGTGAACCTTATTCTGTCCCCAGAACTGTGTGGCCTCGGAGCAGAGTTTGCACTTAATAAATAGTGGGATGCTATGGGGAACTCACCTCCCTCCAAGCACTTTACCCTTCCCTCCTCGGTAGAAGCTCTGTCCTTTCTAAGTCTTAAGAAAAGAACCCTCTACTCACTTCTCCCGCCTCACTCACTCCTACCTAGTGGAGGGGAATGGCTCATGTGTTTGACAAATCTGGAAGAATAAAATGCTCATGTGCCATGACTCATCCTTCTGAGAACTACCTGAGCTGCCCTCCTCTCCCCTCTCTTCACAGTCGTCTTTCCAGGACAGGTTCTTGCCTGGGTCCAGTTTTTCAGTGCTGAGCAGATACTTTTCTAGGGGGAAATTAGGAAGCCTGGTTGTTATACATCCTAAACCAAATCCTCCGATCAGCTTTGCCTGTTATAAAGGTATCTTGATGTCTAGCTGTCTGACTTCTGTATCTTATTTCTCACTTGATTCCAAGCATAAGGAAAAGATTGTGAACAAGCATCACTCCCAAATTTTAATGCTGATGAATTAATAAAAGAACCTCCACAGCCCGGCCGGCGTGGCTCAGCGGTTGAGCATCGACCTGGGATCCAGGAGACCGCAGTTTGATTCCCGGTCAGGGCACATGCCCGGGTTGCGGGCTCCATCCCCAGTGCGGGGCTTGCAGGAGGCAGCCGATCAGTGACTCCCATCATTGATGTTTCTCTCTCTCTCCCTCTCCCTTCCTCTCTCTGAAATCAATAAAG